TCTCAAAAGTTGACCTAGAGTCCCACGATTTTTTTTCTGAATTGCATATAAGCATGAGCATAGAGGAAATATGCCATCATCATATCGATTCTGCTGCCGGATGGCCATAAAGTGCCCTTTTGGATATCCGAATTCACCAATTCCTAAAAATGGTCCTAGAGTTTCACGACTTTTTTCTTAAATTACATATAATCATTAGCTCAGAGGAAATATGATATCACCATATCTATGCTGCTTCTGAGTGAACAGGAAACGGTCCTCTAAATATCCGAAATCACTGGAATCAAGGTGATTCCGGATATCCAGAGGACCGTTTTCTGGCCACTTGGTTGCAAAATCGATATGGTGATGGTATATTTCATCTATGCTCATGATTGTATGCAATTTGTTCAAAAGTACGGATCTTCAGGTCTACTTTTAAGAATTGACTATTTTCCCGGTGATTCCGGATATCCAGAGGACCGTATTATGGCCACTCGGTAGCAGAATCGATATGTTGATGTCGTATTTCCTCTATGCTAATGATTATATGCAAGTTAGAAAAAATCGCGCATCTCTAGGTCTACTTTCTGGAATTGACTAATTTCTCGGTGGATCCGAATTTCCACAGAGCCACCTTTCACGGGTTTTATCGTTCCGATTGGCCACCCACAACTCCAATCGGTTCCTTGTCTATTCCTTTTGAAAGTAGATAGTCATAACTTTCATGTAGTGGCTCAATTGTAAGATGTCGTAACCAAATTGCCGAGAACCAGTCATGTCAACATGAATCGACACGCATTTTGCTCGGGACTTTTCCGGGTTTTTCCGTTCCGGCTGGCCAACTACAGGCCCAATCGGGTTGCTATCTATTTAAAATCCTTTGATTTCATGTTTGCTTCTTCTTCTTCTTCTTCTTCTTCTTCTTCTTCTTCTTCTTCTTCTTCTTCTTCTTCTTCTTCTTCTTCTTCTTCGCATTTCAAGCTTATTGCATATCGCATATTAGCTTATTGCGTGCTCTCAACTTAGTTTTCTGGATGCACTTCCACAGTTATTAATTGAGAGCTTTCGATGCTTTTACCATTTTTGCATTGGTATAATTGTGTGGCAAGTCCAATCATACTTCTATGCCCAGGGAAGTCGAGAAATTTTCCAACCCGAAAAATTCCTAGACCAGACCGGGAAATTGAACCCAGCCACCTCCAGCATGGTTTTGCTTTGTAGCTGCGCCTTTACCGACTGAGCTAAGGGAGGTTTGCTGAAAATGGTTTTAAATAAATATATTGCCGTGTTCATACTACAAGCCTTGTTATATGTTATTCAGAATAGGACCATAAAACATGTATCATATAACTACCCACACACTTAGAAATAACTAATTTTACACGCAACGGAATCCATCGTTGATATAAAAGATGAGACGTGAACAAACATGTCAAGTAATATTAAGTACTCCGAGACTGAAAAGTTCGTTGGTCGACGAAAAGTACGTTTGATTGAGCTATATTTCGCGTCTGTTATGACTCAAATTTATGTCAAATTGACGCTCGTATATGTCACTCTCACGGCACCTAGATTTACATGAATTTTTCTAAGTGTGCAGATCACATGTTTCCAAGTGATATTTAATAACATTACAAGGCTTGTAGTAGAAACAAGACGAGACATTGAACAATAAATTTGATAAGTTTGAAAATGTTTTGTAATAGAACTTATCTGAATAATACACAATAATTGAATACAGAAACAATTATGTAATATTCACGCTCTAGAATGCAAATTATTTCGGGTGGAAATGGAGAATTATCGCTTTCCTGCTCTGATCTAATTTGTTGTTGACTTGTCAACTTCGCGAGTAACGTTTGGCATGTTTGTTGACATTTGCTTCCAAAAGCAAAACTAATCAAATTAAATGGATGAAAACAGTGGTGCCATTTCAAATGATAATCATTTTGATTGAAAAGGTGTTATACAGTACATCTTTTTCAACGACAAATCCCTTTGTTTCAAAACGTGAATCACTTGAAAATCAATGATAAATCACTTCGATTCGTAGTGCCGCATGACAGACTGAGTCATGTGCACGAGCATTTGGATTAGATGTGACAACTTTTTACCGTGTATGGACAAGATAACAAAATCGACCTCCATGCTGAGTTCATTACAAAACGTCACGATATGTGATAAGCAGTAAATTATAAAATTCTTAACCTTCATGTACCCTACCCTACCGAAGATTCATTACAGACTTCGCATAACTTCGCATAACAACTTGCATTTGAAAAAATGGCATCGATCACAAAATTTCAATAAATTATAGTATTGAGATGATTCGACCAATACGCCATTCTAATGTATCTATACCTCATTTAGATGCCCCTAAATTTACTCGCTGATCAATCCCATCCCTCGGAAACAGGAATAAAACAATCACAGCATATTTGCATCAGCCGGCAACGCCGCGGTACATGACTCATCCTGCTGCCAGACGATGGACCTCCAAAAGGACTCTACTCGTCGTCGTATCATCAGAAGGAGGAGGAGTAGACAGTCTCTGCAGTAGTGTACGAAGCCGGTTGAACGGTGCTTGACAACTGTACGAGAGAGAGAGGGGGCATAAGATAGAGAAGACTTGCATACTCGGTCCATTTTCCGTAGAGCAGTACCGGTTTTCGGAATGCGGAGAGCCAACATACAAATCGGAAAGGAGGAAGTGGCCGCAGAGACAGAAGCAACATCAGCATGCTATTCGAAAGGCGCTACTCCATGGAGATAAACCGAACTCATGCAACCCGTACGGCAGACACAAGAACAGCGGCGCCACATTAGTTCTATTTCTATAATATTTTATTTCTTTTCGTCTGGGAATATTTGCCAAAAAAGCGGTATATTATTTATCATCTCGGATGCTCAAGAAAGACCTACACCACCACGGTTTCAGTCAGCTTGCAGTCCGGCAGATCAGGACTGCGTTGGACATGTTGTAATCTGTGTATGGAAGAGCAATGATTGGGGGAAAAGAGGCACGTTCGCAAGACTTTTGCTTAGTCGTGTCTGTCCATTCGGCCATATTTAGTTGACCGATCAGTGTGTAGCTGTGATTTCTAGCAGACAACGTGCTGGGGTTAATGTCTGGTAAAGTTATTACTCGTATCAGACGTGTTAAATAAATTGTGCAGGTGTTCAATCCAATAAACACAGAATTTTGAAATAACATAAAATCTCTTTGATAGAAGACATGCTTGGAAATCATGCCATTCGTAAATTTCATTCGAAATCATGAAAGAAACCGAGCCAGAATGCTAAACAGAACATAACATACATTCCATTAAACCATCCCCAACTCCTATCAGACGAGCTGAATGGCAAACAAAAGAGACGCATAATTTATTTGATATTGTTTTGAATGATTAATATTTGCTTTTTGGCACATTCAGGACGTATGTCGACGAGAAAATTGCATTTCTACTATTTAGGCTCCAAACCGCTGCCTATGGCTCACTGTTCACTGTTCGAAAGCATCAATTTTTCATTCGAAATATAATATCATCTATTTGTCAGTTTATATGACTGTGAGTAATGGCGATTCATATGCACTTCATTGTCCGAACATGGGACAGTGGTCAGTGTCCGAGGCCCGGAGTTGAAAACAACTAATCCTGCAGGCTATTAAAACAACAAAAATCATTTTAAAAGATCTATTGGCCCTAGAGCAAATTTAGAGATAAAAACACACCCAATAGTATCAACAGCCAAAGAAGTCAAACAACTGCCAGAAAGTTTCTGTTTGGCAAACGACATGGCACAGTTTAGATTTGCAGTGTCGCTAATGGAACTACAAATCAAATTACTATACTGCTGGTCTTAGAAAGCGCCAGTAAATCAAATACAATACCGGCGCCAGTTTGGAAAATCAATGCCACACTGATGCTCATTAATTTATTTCACTACCAAAATTACGCAGAAATAGTAGCCTTTTTTGGTGATGCAAAAGCCAAAATTCAGGTCATCTGGATTATACATCTACGTTTCAAGAGGCCATGAAATGCCCAAATAACACAATCTTCGTGCAATTAAGTTGATCCAGTTATAAGGAAACATCGAAGAGTTTTCCGGAATTTTATTATTGTACTCGGACGATGACACGTCGTGTAGTACGGGATTTTCAAAGTTCACCTCCGACATCAGCGACACCGAGCGGTCCAACACAATCGACGGAGCGGGTTCGAGTGGGTTTTCAAATGCCGTTCCCGGGGCGGTCACTGAAGCTACGGTGGGAAAGCTATCCAACGGTGAAAAAGGAGAAGCTGAAGGACGGAAAATATAAAATATATAAATAAATATTGGTTTGACGTCACTGCAGGCGTCATTATCTGCGAGTTTGTTCTCTTATTCTTCCTCGTCGTCCGTACCTGTTGGCAATGTCATGCCACAACAGTTGCAGCCAGGCATGGAAAATCATTTGTATTCATTTCGTGCATTCATTTACATTCATTTGCCCCTAACTTTACTCTTCAACAGCATTCCGCAAAATGATGTAAAGAGCTTTTGTAGGTTTTGTTATTAGCTACAACTTTTGTTAACAAGTCAAATCCGTATCTCTTATACTCACAGCAAGTTCTCGGTAGTACCCAACAAACATTGAAAGTTGAATAAGAGCTTATTCAGGCAAAATTATGCTTCTTTAGCTAAAAGATAGCTTATTCAGCTTTTAATCAGCTCAAATTGTTTGCTGGGTACTTTCACTGGTACTTTCACTGGCACGAACTGACAGTGCCGGTATCAGCACTGCCAGTTCGAGTCTTCAAACGCAATCACCCGCTGGCGAGGAGCTACGAGTGCCCCATTTACACATCAGTTTACGAGGGAAAAACTCTGTGGTCATAAAGAATTCGAAAAATGATCGGAAAAATAGTCAAAGCGGTGGTGAAGAGGATAGTGATGGGAACAATTTTCAGCTGAGTAGGAAAAGCTCCATCAAACAAAGTAGTCATTCCACGGACAGCCGACTAACGGTGTTAATGACTAGCGATGTAAGCATTCGGTTAAAAGTCGATGACGCTGCATTGTCTGGGACGTCCGGACATTCTTCGATGCCATCCTCACCGAATCATCACAACCACAATAGTATTGGCAACAGTGGAAGCAGTAACTCGCTGATTACGTCGATAGCTGCTGTTGCCGGTCTCAAAGCTAAATCGAATAAAATGGAAGATCTGAATCAGCCATTGACGGCAAATGACCTGTTGGTCCCGTTGGACCTGCAACATAAACGTTCAGCGCCGGACTTATTTCTGAGTCTCAATGGAATGATGTGTCCTGAGAAAAAGCGACGTCTTAGCACTGGTTCTAGCACGAACCAACAACATACAAGCACAACGGACGAGTCGAGCATAAGTGCAAGGAATAGTAGCAGTAGTAGTAGTAGTAGTAGTAGTGCAGCCACCAGTATAAATGAAATCAATGAAATTTACGAGACACTGATCTCGAACACCATATTGGGTCGACAAACGTTGGCACGTTGCCACACACATCTCTGTTAGCAGCGGCAACGTCGTCAGCAAAAAACTTGAAGAGCTCCAGCACGAACAACAGTATCAACAACAGCGCGTTTGGCAAATGCATTAGCAAAAGGTAAAGCCAGCGCAGTCGATCCCAACGACGTCGTCCGTGTCATCGCCTGGAGCTCTGGTTGCTGCAACGAATACTAAGAGCTCGACGCAGTCCTCAACAAAACAACCATCGTCATCCCCTTCGTCAGAGACGGCAAACAGTGGCAAACCGCCGGGAAAAGGTGATTCCGACCTTACCACAGGGGATACCGATGAGAAGGACAATGAAAGTAACAAAACAAGCAGCAATACAGCAACCACTACCTCAGGTTCAGAAGTGTCCATCAATCAGCGGGTAAACAACACCCATCTACACCATCACAATCGTCCACCGGAAAAGACTGGCGATTCACCCGCTAATACGTTAGAACAATCCATCAGTCAACAGCAACCAATCACATCACAGCAAGGGGTACGTGGATCACCCGGATCTCAAGCACAAGGTGAAGACAGTGGAATTGAGTCTATGGATGCTTTATCGGAGAAAAGTCCCCATCAGTTGTCGCATAGTCTTCAATGCAATGATCCAAACAAGCTGCTTCGGATGGATAGTCCCAAGGATAAAGCGATACCTGCAGTAGAATCAAAAGAATCATCGAAAGATGACTCCATTGGCAATAATAACAACAACAGCCACTCAAATTTGGACGAATACACAAAAATCGAAGCGGAACGGTGCATGTTACCCCCGGTACCTACTATGAGCTCTTCATATTCGCTTTTAGTCTATCCGTATTCCGAAGCATGGAGAGAGCAGTGCAACGTTCGCAACGTTCGTGGTTTGAGTCCAGTCGGGCAACCTTTTTCTATTTTTTTTTTCGACATGATTCAATTCACTTTCTAATACACTCCACATTTTTCTTTCTCTATTTTCTTGCATTGGACCGCAGCTTGGTATATCTCATCCCCCGTTCATAAGGTCTTCACTAACATCCTGTAATGATGAATCCCTCATTATTGTAAGCAAATCTTTTGGGTTGGGTGTACTTTCTGTGAGCGTAATGCCGCAGATACACATACACACTTAAATTTTTTCGCCGAGATTCCAACAGCCGAGTAATTCTGCAATTTATTTTGCTGAGATTCAGTAAAACAATTGCCGAGACTCAGCTAACAAATAACATTTTGCTGAGATATCAGCTAACAAACATATATTTTGCAGAGAAATCAGCAAAAGTGAATGCCGAAGTAATCGGTTTTTGGAGATTTTACCGAGCTTGATTAAGTGTGTAGATGACAAACTACCCAACTAACATTTTCAGCTTTGTAAGCCAACTTTTGCAGCGTTGTACTGTAAAGTAGCTGAAAAAAGCAGCAGATACAGCTACCAACAGAATCTAGCAAAATTGTTTTGAAGAGCGTTTACTCAACTTTCTCACAACCATTATTCAATTTGCCAGTCTCACTGAATAACAACAACCAATAAACGCTAATGTCACTTTTATACACATCCTAATCAACTTTGAACTTGTAGCTGCAAAACAAACTGATTTGATGGCTTTTACACAACAAACCACTCTTGCTGAATAACATTAACATCAAAAGCGTTTTTTTTTTTTTTTTTTTTTTTAGCCGGCTCCGGTGGTGTAAAGCGTGACTGCTTTCTAACATCCCAATGGGTCTGGGTTCAATCCCAGTCGAGTTCGGTGGGATTTTTCTGAGGCATAAAAATCTCTGGTCACGACTTCCTTCGGAAGGGAAGTAAAGCCGTTGGTCCCGGCGCATGTGTGTTAAATGAATGGGTGCGATATCCTACGCAGGGGTGGAAGCTGCCTTCCTGCACATTCGATTGCCGTCAATGGATGGCAATCGATGTCCGTCGGTGATTGGCACTAGATTGCGGAACAGAGACCGACGTTAAATAAAAAAAATTGTTTTTTCAACAACTGAACAACCTGTACTCAGCTAATAAACTGTGTTAGCGCTACTTTGGACGCATTTTTACAGGCAGCTAGGTTTATTTTTAGACGTGTGCAGTTTTACAGCTTTTACTCTGCTCCTTTACAAAGGTGAAGTAACTAGTCGAGAGAAGTGAATCATGTGCACTCAGATTTGAAAAAAATCATGAAAAAATCATGAAAAAATCACCAGCATTCACTATGAAATGAATTTTTCATCCATAGTGAACTTTGATGAATTTTAGTGATTTTTTCAGCCCTGTGTGCACTATTATAAAGCCTCTACTCAACGATTTTGTTGTAGAAGGGCATGTGGATTTTTTTACATCAGTTCAAAGTGTTAGCGTAGCACAGTTCGTAGTGTGAAGGATTGCCAATGCGGTCGTCTCGAGTTCGATTCCAGATTCCGGTGCAGGGTAAATAATTTGGTGGTGTGTTGTGCTTGTAACTAATTTGGATTAATTTGAATTACAGCAAAATATAAACTCAATCAACTCCTCCATTAAAAAATAGCGTAAACAATATTTATTCCAGCTTCAAGACAAAGCTGTGTAGTGATTATTGGATAACCGGGAAAAGGTTGAATAAGCGCCTTTCAAGTCCACACATAACTAAACAGCAGGATAACAGCTGTATAGAAGCGTTAAATAGATATATATGCAATAAGAGCTTGTCCCAACAGTCCCAACAGCCATAAGTAGCTGACTAAGTTCACCAGATTTGCTCGTTTGTATAGAGATTGAGTAAAAGTTTCCTCATATCGTATAACGTTTGAATACAGCTTGAGGCTGTATAAATGACATTAGTTAAGCGTTTTCATTGTGAAAATTGTTAGTTAGGTATGAGCATGAGCATTATTTGTATAATTAATTCCCTAGAAGCACACTTGTCACTGAACAGCTGTCGTTACTTGTATGTATCTCATTTCAGTCACAATCAAGTTGCAGCAACTTATTATGCTGGATGTATGTTCCTTGGGTTATGACCACATCCATGGTCACACTTGTATAGTTTGGACACAGACAAACAGACGTAACTCTCACAATCACATTCATCGCAAATAATCTTTTAGTTGGGAATGTGCTTGCATTTGTCATCGTGGCACCACTGAAGCATTGAGCAAGCCACCACATTTCGAACTTATCAGTGATGCCAGTTATTTTTCACGTCTAGTTAGTAGATGTCAGCTTTTGAAAATGATAAGTGATCAAGGCATCCCACTGTAAACACATACCACATCTGACAAATACAGACAAAAAAGTTGTTGAATATTACATCAACACTGCTGCACATTAGTCATTCCGTTCGTAATATTACGTTGTACGATGTACACATAATTCGAGAACAAATCATGTTGATGACTGTAATATTCTATCTATTTTTACCAGTTATTGATCTGTGTGATGGCAAACAGTGTAGCTCAATTTGTTGTGCAGTGAAAAAAATATTTTTAATTACGTGTGAAATTGTGTTGTGTGCCGCGATTGATTAATTGCAACGCGTGCCCAATTGTATTTGATAACAGGATAAGTAGGAGAACAGGTTACAAAAGTAGCCGTTCTCGTAAAATTTTGCTTATTCTTCGATCCCCCCGGCGCACTGAAAGGAAGCAATTGCTTTCCTATAGCCCGCATAAACGCGAACCATAAATTGACCTTACCGATAATGGTTATAAATTGTTTATAACCCTAATAAAAAATTACCATAATCGAACGATAACACAAATAATTGAAATATTCCACAAATGATTTGGATGATTCCTCGAACACGTTGTTAAGCAAAATAACCTTAACAATTTTGTTAGGGAATCCCTCCTTAACTTTAACTGAAATGGTTTTGGAACCTTACATGAACGTTTGTGTGATAAAGTTTTAACCTTATGTATTATGGTTTTTAGGAAGCGGACCTTACAAATAATGGGTTGTTAAGAACCATTACCATTTCAAATTCTTGTTTTCTCCATACATTTTCGGAAAGAGAACTATATTAGAACGTTTTTACTTATGGTTTGAGAACATTAATGGTTATGGTTATGGTAGTCAGTAAGACCCATGAATGGTTTTGTAACATCGATCAACTTTATGTGGAATATATCGCGAATTGGTTGCCTGTAAATTAATAATTATCAGTTCGCGATATATTCCACGTAAAGTTGAGCGATAATACAAAACGATTAATGGACCTTACTGACTACCATAACCATAATCATTAATGTTCTCAAACCATAAGTAAAAACGTTCTAATATAGTTCTCTTTCCGAAAATGTATGGAGAAAACAAGAATTTGGAATGGTAATGGTTCTTAACGACCCATTATTTGTAAGGTCCGCTTCCTAAAAACCATAATACATAAGGTTAAAACATTATCACACAAACGTTCATGTAAGGTTCCAAAACCATTTCAGTTAAAGTTTAGGAGGGATTATAAACAATTTATAACCATTATCGGTAAGGTCAAGTGAGGGTTTGCGTTTATGCGGGAGTAGCTGCGGCGGTGAAATCGATATTTAATTGTCTCTTCTGTACCCTGTGTATTGTTGCATGCAGCGTCTGTTGACTGTGTTTAGGTAGAAATAAAATGTCCAAAATGCGAGTCGGGGGTAATGGCAAGCGATCTGCCGCTAACCTGTAGTGGTAAGTGTTCTCGTGTGTTCCACATGAGATGCACTACACTTACTAGGAGTACGGCAAAGGTTGTCATGGAGAATGTTAATCTCCTATTGAGTTCTCCAAGCAAGATCTCACGAACACTACACTAATAACATAATTTTACACACACTAACGTATACGGTCATGTGCACGGCAAGAATCAAACATCCCTTTATGAGTAAAAGTGAACCCATTGTAAATAAAAGTGACACTACTAATTAATGAGTTATTTTTTATGCCAATTAAGTAGTAACTTTAAACTACTGTTAGCAGAAACTCATTGTTGTTAAAATAACTTACTCATTAATGAGTAAAACCACTTTTATTAAAAATGGGTTAACTTTTACTCATAAAAGGGTATTTGACTGTTACCGTGCAGCCGTAGCGTTTGTTTTTCGTTTTGTTGTTTATTTTTACTTTAAAATGACAGTTCTTACAGCAAACACAAAATTTCTCACAGCTAACAAAAAAATTTACCTCACTAACACACGCAAATCGCACCAATACGAACCCGCCTGGAGAGGACTATACAAGTGTGACGATTGTCTGTCTAGTTGTTACGAGCCGAGTGATTCGATCTCGCATGTTAGAAATATTGAGGAAGAAGTGAAAAGAATATCTTCTATTTCGGCCTCGATCACAAACATGCGAGATCAGATTGCTGCTCAAATGGATCATTGAAGATGCTGAGGTTTTGACAGCACCGTACTGTGGCTACCACAGTATTTTACATTGGTTCGTCCGTATACAGTAGCACCAAATGAAAGCTGTGGTGGGTTCAAAACTCAGCCATCTAAAATGATCTATTGATAACGCGTTGAAGACCGGTATGGAAGCTATCCGTTTAAATGTAAATGGTACCCTGAAGGAAGCCGTTGGCGGACTTGAAATACATATTATTAAAAATTGGAAAATATGACTAGTTCATTTTCGAGAATTATTGCGGACAAAAATTTAGTTGCAATGAATAATAGCAGTGGATCTGGGCCGATTCCCTCTGAAGCGGGTCAAATCCCCGATGGTAATAGTAATAGTCATGACGAAGAGAATTCTACTAATGATAAAGTTAAATGTAGTTTCGCGGATGCTTTGAAAAACGGACAAGGGGACAGTAAAAGTAAGGATATCAGTAAAAATAAAGTTGAAAATGATAAAAGTAAGTTTGAAAGTAAAAAACTGAACAACCGTAAGGCTCGCCCGGTCATTGTGATTAAACCTAAAGAGTC